AATTAATTAATATTTATAAGACATTTTTTGTGACATATAAGTGACATTATGTGTCTGTCTGTCTCTCTCCTCCCAATATATAGTGAAGGCCTTAGGAGACTGATTCCCTCAGAGCCTTCTCATTCTGTGTCCAGTACATAGTCAGCCATTAGTGTTGAACCAATGACTGAGGGCTTCTAATAGTCACTTTCTTTTTTTTGTTTTGGTGGTGGTGGTGGTGGTACCAGGGTTTGAACTTAGGGCCTCACTGCTTGCTAGGCAGGTGCTCTACCACTTTAATCACTCCACTAGCCTTGATAGTCACTTTCTAACAGCAACCTTCATGATACACCCTGCCTTGGCCAAAGGAGGCTCCCATCTGGACCTACGTGACTTAAGAGGAACCCAAAAGCTTATTTCCCCCAATTTTTTAGGCTAGTGCCTAAAACAGTGAAAAATGATTGAATGGATATATCACAAGAGGAAGCAATAATGGCATCTCCACTCCAACCTTGGTCCTCAGGTTGGCCAGCAGGAACTCAGAACAAGAGGCCTTGGACAGCAGCTCTGTTGCCAAGCTGTCCTCCATACTGTGAGGGGACCCTTGCAGTCTGTCTCTGTGTTGCTGGTGGAGCGTCAGAGACTAAACCATTCTCTTTCCTTCCTCCTTTCTTTTTTATTTCTATTCTTTTCTTTTTGGTGGCAGTACTGGAGTGAACGCAGGGCCTTGTGCTTAGCTAGGCAAGCTCTCTAACACTTGAACCACACCTCCAGCCCCACCCTCTTTTCTAAACAGGAACTCTGTATTGCTGTCTATTCTCTGGGAAAAGAAGAGTATGCTCCTGGAGGGTGGTGCACAGCCCTGGCTTGTGTGTGTGTGTGGGCCTGGTTTCCTCCAAGCCATTTTCATGTGTGTGCTACAGATAGAAGACCAGAGTTAAGGACAAGTTACTAGAACTGAGCCATACCTGGATCCGATCTGCCTTGGCTTCTCTGACCATCCAATGGCCTCTCCTGTTTTGATACTGGGGTAGAGGAGGATGGGAAACCTCACCATCTCCAGGCTGGACTGTGTCTCCTCCCTCCACCATAAGGCTTACCTTGTTGTCTTCTCCCTTCCCCCATCACTACTTGTCCTAATAACATCTAATCACATCTCTTATCAAAACTAAAATTTCAATTCACAGAACATTCACAGATGATCTATCTCCCATGTGCAAAGCTCTGTGGTGGTGAGATATGGATTGAAGGCTCTCAGAGGTGGGATGATTTGGAAGATCTGATCCAAACCCCTCCCTGGGTTAGCCCAGAGAACAGCTGATAAACAAGCCTTCATCTCAACAGAAGCTTGCTGCATCTCTAGACAATCAGTCCATTCCTGTTCTGGCTGGCTTTAATCATCATAGCCACTATTTATCATGATTAAAAAAAAATTGCCATTTGCTGAGCATGGACTGTGAACAATTTTGGCCTTGAGGCACACAGCACAAAGTCAGCAACCAATTCAACTTTATTATTCATGATGTGACTTACTGAGGGGTATACACACCATCTGCAGTTTCTTATTTAAACTAATTGTTCTGCTGCCTCAGTTGTCTCTCTGCCAACCATAATATTTAAATTGTTTCATCTTTTAAAATGATTTGGGGACTTTCAAGGCATTGCCCTAACCTAGAATCAAGTACTTTCTTTACTTCGTTTTCCCTCCTGGCCCCTGTGCAGGCCTACAAACTCTTTTGCTTTTGATATGTAGTTCCTGCTTTTGTGGTATCTTTTTTTTTTTTTTTTGGTAGGACTGGGGTTTGAACTCACAGTTTTTGTACTTGCAAAGCAGGCATTCTACCGCTTGAGCCACACCTCCAGTCCAGTTTGCTCTGGTTATTTATGAGATGGGAGTTCTTGAGAACTATTTGTCTGGGCTGGCCTGGAACCATAATCCTCCTGATTTCAGCCTCCCAAATAGCCAGAATTACAGGCATGAGCCACCAATGCCCGGCTTTTTTTTGATAATAGCTTTATTGAGCAACTATTCACATTTCACACAATTCAACCATTTAAAGTACAATCCAATGGCTTTTAGCTTAGGCAACACAGTCTTGGGCAACTTCACTGCCATCACATGTAAAAGCCCTGTACCCTTTGACATCTACCTCCATCCCCTCAGGCCTAGGCAATCAGTAATCTATATTTTGCTCTATGCATTTGCATATTCTGAACATTTAATATAACTGGCCTCACACAGTACATGGTCTTCTGTGATTGGTCTCCTTTATTTAGCATAATGTTTGCAAGACTCACCTGCATTGTAGCTTGCACTGCCTACGTATTTCATTCCTTTTTCTTGTAAATGAAATGAATAACATTCATGATGTGTTTGGTTTATCCATTGCTTGGTGGCTGGACGTTTGGGTTGTTTCTTCTCTTCGGTTGTTATGAACAGTACTGTTATGATGTGGGACCATCCTGATCACTAAGAACTTGTTTGAACCATTCCTTGCCATGATTGTGAGGATAAAAGCCACCTGCTGGCCCCATCTTGCCCTGGCCTTGACTCAGCTGCCCAGAGCCTTAGGGCCTCTTCAAATTCACCCTGTGCTATCAGGAGTAGAGGGGCTGGGACTTAACAGGGAGGACCTCCTCCTTTTCCCTTTGGCTCTCTAGGAAAGGCAGTTTGGGGTAAAGCTATCTGGGTAAGTCACAGTCACCTCACCACAAATGCATCCCTTTTCTTGAGCAGGCTTCAGTGTGCTGACTGCAGTGGCCTGAGAGCCTTATAAGGAGTTGTACCTGCTGCCGCCCCAGGCCAGTTTTCTCTTCCCTTACCACTTGGCACTTGGCCCTGGGGCCTCCCCTTCTGCCTCCACCCTGGAAGTCCAAGTCAGGGCTAACAGAGAGCAGCTTTGGCCTCTTCTTCATGAGGCTGTACATGGGGTGTCTTGGGCGGAGTTGGCTGGGGTCTCTGGGCAGTAGGGAATTGACAAATGACGTACAAATGCTTCTGACCCTGGACTACTCTGGGCTTTCTCCCACTCCCAAAAGAGGGACAACTGGATGACCTCTGGACCAGTGCTCCAGCTTGCATACCATAGGGATTTCGCAGTCCCCTTGGTCCTCACCTTAAGAGATACTCCAAGGACTAAGGAACCAGGTAGCTGGGGTGGAGGGTTCTGAGATTTCAGAAAGAGATCTGAGTGGCTGGTTTGTCTGCCTCTTGCTGCCCAAATCAGACCTCGGGAATAGTCCCCTCTCTCCTAGTCCCCCAAGTCCCTCCAAGAACAGTGTGGGGGAAGGGAAGAAAGGGAGTGGATTGTCTCCCTTCCCAGGGCTGCCATACCTGTCTGACCAGCCCCTCCCTCTCTCCTTCCGCCTACTCTGTCCTTGGTTTGGCACCAGGCCCAACCTCCCTCCCTTTGGTTTTCTGGAAGAAGTCTCTCAGTCCTGCTGGGTGTGGGTGTTTGTTGGAGAGGGTTTGGCACACATTCAAATCAGTCTTCCAAAAATGAAGCATTGTTTCAAGGGGCCAGGAGAGGGCCTGGTGTAAATAGGCAATAACCGGATTTCTCTCTGCCCAGCAAGTCTGCAGCCTGGGGAGAGAGGAAGGAGGGGAGGACCTGATATGACCATTGTGTCCTCTTTGGGAAATCTCTGGATTTGTCTTTCTGGAAGGGACTTCAAAGTGTGTCCTGTGTGTGTATGCCGAGAAGGGAGCTTGTCTGTGTGTCCTTTTGGATTTGTTTTTGTTCCCCTAGGAGGGGGGCTTCTGGGTCTCTCTGTCCCTCTGGGTAGGAGTCCTATGTGCCTATCCTTCTGGGATCCTGGATGTCTATCCTGGAGAAAGAGGGAGAGAATCCATATATCTGTCCTTCTAGTAGGTGGTCACTCTCTTCCCTTGGTTTGGGGTTCTGTGCTACCTGTCCCTTTCCCTCAGGGGGTCCGAATGTTTGTCATATGTTGTTCTCCCTAGTCACCACCACATTATGCCCTATGGTAGCTTCCAGAGGACCCAGCCGGAGTCATAACTGCAGGTGGAATTCTTGCCTTGGGGACCCAAACCTCCTGCCTTCCACCCACAGCCTGCCCTGCCCAGCCTCACCCAGGCCTAGAGGGCTTTGCTCAGATCCCTTTCTCCAGCCTGCTGCAGGTGTGTGATGTGCCCCAACCTGCTTTCCTGATTCACTCTGATAATGGGCTCCCGGAGACAGGTGCAGGAGCTCTCCCAGTCTCCTCTGGCCGAATGGGGGCTTGGGAAGAGAAAGGGGTCCAGGTAGTTGCAGAATGACTCACCACCAGCAGTGAAACCCTCTTCCACTCCACTCCCACTCCCCTCTCAGTTCCTGTGATTCACTCGCTGAGAGTAATGGACAAAATGAAGACGCTCTTCCGCCCTCATGCCACTCCTCTCTCCCCTGGGCTCCCCCATCCTTTTCCAGCTCTGCACCCTTCAGCCCTTCAGCGAGGCCCACAGTGTTCCACCTGGCCTGGGTAATTCTAGGATCTTGGGAAGAGAGCAGGACATAGGGTTATGGGTAGCAAAAGTACTGTGTTGGATCTCTGTCTTGCACTTCATAGACCTAGAAGGGAGACAGCCAGTGTGTGTATGTGTGTGTGTGTGTGTGTGTTCATTCATTCATTCCACAAATATTTACCCAGCCCCTTTTGGGGGTACACCAGGTACCCTGGAGAGAGGAGGCAAAATGACTGGCCTCAGATCCAGACCTGGAATCCAGGGGCCCTGCCATCATTCTGGGCAGACCCTCCCTCAGGAGTATTTCTTTGGGATATCAGCTGCTTAGAAGAAACCCAAATGCCAGGGAATCCTTTCCTGTCAGGTTTCCCAGTCTTCTGGTTTATTTCTCACAGGAGGGCAGGAGCCAAAACCCAGGAGCTGGAGTTTCAGTGCTGGCCAATACTGATCAGGTCTCCTGGTAACTTGCTCCTGCATGACTGGGGTGGATTCCTTCCTTCCTGGTTCACCCTGGCTGAATTACTTTCTCCTAGGTTCTTGGGTGGTGCTCTGGAGTGGGATCCTGGGTGGGAGCAGCTCTCTGCTGCCCTCGCCTGAGTCCAGCCAGGAGGTGGCAGGTGTCGGGTTAGGCCCTGCCCCCTTAGGGCCTAGCCACTCAGGTAAGAGGTCTTTTTCCCTCCCCTTGGGCTGGGCTCTCTTTTATAAGAGCCCGTTCCTGGGCCCTGTCCCATTGCCTAGAAGCAGCTCTCGGCTTCTTCTTGAAGGTCAGTCTTCAGCCCACCTGTGTTCATTCCAGCCTCAACCATGTCCATCAGGGTGACCCAGAAGACCTACAAGGTGTCCACCTCTGGCCCCCGGGCCTTCAGCAGCCGCTCCTACACAAGTGGGCCCGGTGCCCGCATCAGCTCCTCCAGCTTCTCCAGGGTGGGCAGCAGCAGCAGCGGCTACCTGGGCACCAGCATGGGTCTGGGTGGCGGCTTTGGTGGGCCTGGTGTTGGGGGCATCACAGCTGTCACAGTGAACCAGAGCCTGCTGAACCCCCTGAAGCTGGAGGTGGACCCCACCATCCAGGCGGTGCGAACTCAGGAGAAGGAGCAGATTAAGTCTCTCAACAACAAGTTCGCCTCCTTCATTGACAAGGTGAGGTTTTCCCCAGGGGCTGACTGCCTTCTGTGTCCTTTCTCCTGGGCCCCATAGTTAGTGGGCATATCTCTAGTCCCTTTCAGGATCCTGTTAGGCCTCACCATTCTGGCAACACTTCCTTCTTTTCCAGGTTGGCTCCTCCCATGCATGCACTTTGGTTTGGGTTTGGGTTGGGTGGGTGGAGAGAGGGTCGGGACAGCTTGAGACCAAATCCTTCCCCCCTCAACCCGAATTCTGACCTGTCTGGCCTCCTCCCAGCTATGTATATGTCCCCTCCCCCCTTTCACTCTTCTTTCCTAGCACTGTCCCAAGGTTTTCTCAATAGTGCCTTTTCTTCCTTTTTGTTAAAGGAGGTTTGATAGACGGCCTTAGGCATCTTGTTTCAAACGGACAAATATAAGTGGAGGTCTTTGGCACCCAGGGCCTGAGTGTGGGGGAACCAGGCTGAGTCACGAATTGGCCCCTGCCCTGCTGGCCGCAGCGTGGGCGGGGCCGCTGCGGGGTGAGGGCCAACGTCGCCCGCCGTCTCCTGGACGTCCCTCCATCTGGTTGAGCTCCTGGCTACCGGGGAGACGCTGGGCTTGGCCTTGGGAAAGCCCATCCAGGATTCAAAGTCTGAGGGCGTTGGGCACCTCGCCCTGGTTTAAGTCCTGTTAAACCCAAAGTTTATGGCTTTTGATAACGCGCCAACGCCCCTCTGCCCACTTGGCCCTTGTCCTCTTTCCCTCTTCCTACCCCAGCTCTGCCCTAACCCCCAACCGCCTGGCTCCACTTTCTCAGGGCAGGAGCCGGGCCGGGTTTTGCAGCGTGGTGGCTCTGTGGCTCGAGGGGCCTCGGAGGATTGGCCCTGGGAGGCATTGTGGGAACTGGAGGAGGGAAATCCTGGGGCTGATGGCGCCCTTAGGAATCCGAGGGCCCCAGGAACTCCTTTTCTTTCTGGAGGGCTTGCTGGCTGCTCACCAAGCGCTCTTGACTTTTCACTGCGTTTTGCTAAACCTGGGGTCCTTAGGAAAGCAGTTAAGTGCAGGCTTGGGGTGCAAATTTTGGTTCACAGGGACCCACGGTTTCTTGCAGAGTCTGGCTTGAATCTGTAAAATGGGCAGGAAAATCCCCAAATCAGAGTTTTTGCCTATTCTTAAACATGGGACTTAAAGAGTTTAGCAGTGCCTGGCCCACATTTAGCATTTCATTAGGATTAGGTGTTAAAATCACTATTTTTTTCTAAAAAAAAAAAAAATAATTTGGGGGAGGAAATGAATTTACAGAAGGGGTTTGGGGGAAATAACTTATTATGTCCTCCTCTTCCAAGTTCCCCCAGTTAAAAAAGAGTGACAACTTTGGTTGTTTTAAAAAATACATTTGCCTTTTTGGAACAAGTCTATTCTTTTAAAAAACATTTCCCTTCGACCGTGCCTTAGCTTCATTCCACATGTGGTTTCACAGCCCAAGGATCCCAGAGGGTGAATGTTTGTGGCAGGAGGGAAGAGAGTGGGGTGCCCTTCCAGATGTGGGAGGGTAGGGAGGGCAGAGCTTCAGTCTGCAGCTAGACCCACCTTCTTTCACGTTCTACCCTGGCTAAAAGTGAGCTCTGTGCAGAGATGGGGCTTCTGAAATGGCCTGCCCGAATTTCTCCAGCCTATGGCAGGGTTGAAGAGACCCAGGCTCTGAGATGGGCAGCAGGTCAAGTTAGGCAGCACAGGTTAGTAACAACCTCAGTAGAGCCTACATCTCGTGGCCATTGCTCTCTTGGTATTAGGGATAAAGTTTCCCTGAAATCTGCATGAGTCCAAATAATTATGATAATATTATTTGATATGCATACTCTATTTTCTTTTTCCTTGTATAAATTGTAAATCAAAGCATTTTGAGAAAGCTTGGCTATTTTTGTTGCTCTGTGACCACACAATTTATGCAAATAAGACCTGTTCTGCAGATGCAGTTTCAGCCTAACCTCTTTAGCTGTCTGTCTCTTTTCAACCATGCCTCCCCAACCCAATTGCTAGAGGGACATGGCTCTGACTCCATTCACCCTCTCTCCCATCTCACCGTGCAGTTGCTCCCAGGTAATAGGTGATCCTCCAGAAACAGCTAAGCACGTCCCTGGGTTGTGGGGACCTCATTGCTTTGGCAGTGGACTGGGGAAAAGGCATTAACTCTGGCCTGATTCAGACCTTTTTGCTCTCTCGTCCTCACACAGGTGCGGTTCCTGGAGCAGCAGAACAAGATGCTGGAGACCAAGTGGAGTCTCCTGCAGCATCAGAAGACAGCTCGGAGCAACATGGACAACATGTTTGAGAGCTACATCAACAACCTTCGGAGGCAGCTGGACTCATTGGGCCAGGAGAAGCTGAAGCTGGAGGCAGAGCTTGGCAACATGCAGGGGCTGGTGGAAGACTTCAAGAATAAGTGAGCCTCCCCCCAACTGCTGTCATCCTGCCCTGCCCCACCCCTAGGGATCAGAGGCCTAAGTCCTCATGGCTCTTTGCTTATGGGGACTGTATAATTAGGATGACCATATGGTCAGTTTTGCTTGTGATAGTCTATTTATACTTATTGTCCTGGCATCGCAAGACTGTCAGATTTGGACAACAGATTAAATGTTTTTTAATAGTATACTTAAAGGGAAGATATAGCAGCAGGCCTCATTTTAACACTTGCAACCCTGATGCCTGACCTCTGGCAAACTCCAGAGAATTCTCTCTGAGATGTCCTGTGAGGCCCTGCTGCTAATCCTCTCACTGTGGTGCTCAATTCAATGAATATGCATGCATTGAATTTGGAGGGAACTTTCTTGTTCTGGGCCTCCCCCCTGACTAACTGGTGAGGGTGGGGAGATGGGAGAGGGTGGTGAGGGCAGAAGGACCAACCTCTTATATTCTGCACCTCTGTGAGCTGAAAGTTCAAAATATTCATGCCTCTCTCAAAAGATCCAGGGCAGGCTGGGGTGTGTAGCTCAGTGGTAGAGTGGGTGCTCAGCATGTGTAAAGCCCTGGATCCCCAACACTACTACCACTAACAAAAGACCTAGGACAACTTTACCTTTGCTTTCATTCCTTGATTCCAAGTCTTTCCTTACTAGGTATGAAGATGAGATCAATAAACGTACGGAGATGGAAAATGAATTTGTCCTCATCAAGAAGGTGAGAGTACTCTCCTGCTCTCCCCCACCTTCCCCTGCCCCCAGACATTGAAGACTAGGGTTTGGAGACTTGGACTAAGAGTTTTCTAGATGTTCCTAAGTCCTAGATAATTAAGGTGACCACTGTATTTCTAAGTAGTGGGACAAATTGACTTATTGCAACATTTGATGCCTTCTAGGTATGTAACATAGAAAGGTAGACAAGGGCAGATAGGCCGATTTGGACAGAACTCTGGATGTCAGTGTGGGAACATGGTTAAGAAAGTGGAGCAAGCTGGGCATCGGTGGCTCATACCTGTAATCCTAGCTACTTGGAAGGCTGAGATCACGAGGATCTCAGTTTGAGGCCAGTCTAGGCAAAAGTTTGAGCGATCTCCTCCAAAATAACTAGAGCAAAATGGACTGGAGGTGTAGCTCAAGACGTAGTGTGCCTTCTTCCTAAGTGCAAAGCCCCTACCTTGTTCAAACCCCAGTCTCACCAAAAAAAAAAAAAAAAAAAAAAGGTGGAGCAGAGGCTAGCCACAGAAGGCTTCCTAGAGGAGGAAGTTGGGAGAGGGGGGCTACAAGAAGTAGAGGTAAAGGTGTATGGGCTGCGGATGCAAGGAGGGTGGACATAGGCTGGGTTAGAGGATGAGTCACAAAGTGGATAGGGAAGGAGACTTGTAGGTTGTTAGTCATTAGAAAGTCCCAAGCTTAGGCCACTGAGTGGCTGTTGGGGAGCTCCAGGGTTGGGGTTGGGTGTGGGCACCCAGCTCAGGCCCCTCATGTTACCCCCAGGATGTGGATGAAGCTTACATGAACAAGGTGGAGCTGGAGTCTCGCCTGGAAGGGCTGACTGATGAGATCAACTTCCTTAGGCAGATACATGAAGAGGTACGTTCTCAGGGGCTAGAGACTGAAGATCCCTCAGCTTGTTAGTGCCCCCACTATGGACCCAGCCAAAGCCTCTCTCAGCCCCCAGCATACCAGTGGACAAGGGCCCAACTTAATAACTTTAACTACCAGTGTCAGTCCAGCTACCATTATTCTGTCTCGCTACATGAGGGGGGTTTGTTACCTCATTGAAATGGGATCTGAGAAGTGAAATAACCTACCCAAGGTCATCACACAGGCAGTGATGATCCACTTTAACCCAGGCCCGCTCTGTCCCTAAAGCCCTTGTTTTTGTCTTGGATGCCTCAGGGCTTAGTATTGGTGGCTAAGAGCAGGGCCGGGGTCATCCTCCTTGGCAATGCACCCAAAGTCAGGTTTGCATCCCTCTGTCCATGCTCCCTATCTTTGATTCATCTTTCTTCTGCTAGACATTTGGCCTCTCCCCAGTCCCAGCTCCCACCTGCCCCTCTGTTGTCTTACCCCCAAGGAAGGCTCCTCTGCAAAGGGGGCTCCCATGTGCAGAGACAGAGCCTCACCACCCACCTCCTGCCCCACAGGAGATCCGTGAACTGCAGTCTCAGATCTCAGACACGTCTGTGGTCCTGTCCATGGACAACAGCCGCTCCCTGGACATGGATGGCATCATTGCCGAGGTCCGAGCCCAGTATGAGGACATTGCCAACCGCAGCCGGGCTGAGGCGGAGAACATGTACCAGATCAAGGTGAAGAGTAGGTCATTAGACCAGCCCTCCCCTGCTGGCCAGTTCTGTGCCCTAGTCCATGAGGAGGGAGCAGGATTCCAGACTCCGCTCTGCGTGTGCGTGTGCAGGAGCTTGGGAGAGGAGCAGGGGAGGAGATGCCCCAGGCACTGGTGACCTGACTGAGAGAACAGGCTCCTTTGGTTTGGTGGTGGGCACCTGGGGAGCCAGGGGTCCCGCTTGAGCCTCACTTTCTGTCTCAACCTGCAGTACAAGGAGCTGCAGACACTGGCTGGGAAGCATGGGGATGACCTGCGCCGCTCGAAGACGGAGATCTCCGAGATGAACCGCAATATCAGCCGCCTGCAGGCGGAGATAGAGGCCCTCAAAGGCCAGGTACTGATGGGGGTGAGGGGAGGTCATAGGCAGGAGGGGCCAGGAGCCAGCTGTGGGAGGGGCAGCTTCTGGCCGGCTTTCCCACATGCTCCTTGGAAGCTGAAGAACATTGAGCATCTTTATGGGCAGCACAGGGTTAAAAGGGGGCTTGACCAGCAGGCTGGCTTCAGGATGCATCCCCTGAGCCTGCTTTATTTAATCTAGCATATGTATCAGGCAAATTTGACTTTTTCTGCTTTCTGGAAAGTCCTGAACCCAGAGATCTAGTCCAGTTAAGGTGCAGGACCTTAACAGGTGGGATGTGTATGATAAGTGCCTGGAAGCTGCTCCTGTTTCCCATTCTGCTTTCTCAGACTTATTGGTAGGATTTTCTTTGGGCAGAGCAGAGTCCAGATGAGGGAGGGAGACCCTAAAAGAGGCTCAAGGTGGGTGGGTGCTTGGGAGGATGTACACTAGATACAGCCTGCTCACTTGTCCCCCTTCCTGCAGAGGGCATCACTGGAGGCTGCCATTGCTGATGCTGAGCAGCGTGGAGAGTTGGCCATTAAGGATGCCAATAACAAACTGGCCGAGCTGGAGGCCGCCCTGCAGCGGGCCAAGCAGGACATGGCCCGGCAGCTGCGTGAGTACCAGGAGCTGATGAACGTCAAGCTGGCCCTGGACATTGAGATTGCCACCTACCGCAAGCTGCTGGAGGGTGAGGAGAGCAGGTGAGTGTGTGGATCTCTCAACTGGACCCGTCCTTGGGACCTGGGGTGGGTGCTTCCTGGGAGCTCTCTTGGAACTTGGATCCTGTTCTGGGGTAAAGTGGGCTGTGAGTTGGTTCTGACATTCCATGTGTCTGGATGCAGGTTGGAGTCTGGAATGCAAAACCTGAGTATCCATACAAAGTCAACTAGTGGCTATGCAGGTCAGTTTTGTGGACCTTGGGGATGGAGGGCAGGCGGCCTGGGAGGCCTGAGCTCTGGGTGAGGGGGTGTGCTGTATTCAGTTGATGGAGAATTCCAGGGTGGTGGGGGACATACTAAGCACCCAAATAACACAGTTACTAATAGAAAGCCCCCGATGTCTGCCAGCACTCTGTCACATCCTTACAAACTTTATTATTTGCTTTTTTCAACAACTTAAGTACAGCTGAGGGAGCTGGGTCCCTGGATCTAAATGCCTTGTCTAGGGACAAGTAGCTAATAGGGAAGCTCTTTCCCCTGCTGCCATTGCTTCCCTGATGGCTCTGAGTAGTGACCCCACAGTCAGAGGTCAGGCAGACATGGGCCAAACTCTCCATCTCTGGGGTGATTGGTGAGCGAGCAGGGAGAAGGTCTGATTCAGTGGATGGACTGGAGTATTGTTTTGGTTCCTGTGCTCACATGGCTGCCTCTGTTCCTGACCAGGAGGGCTGAACTCGGCCTATGGGAGCCTCACAAGCCCTGGCCCTGGCCTCAACTTCGGTATGAGCTTTGGCTCTCCTGGGTGCTCCAACACCTTCACCCGCACCAAGGCCGTGGTTGTGAAGAAGATCGAGACCCGAGATGGGAAGTTGTTGTCCGAGTCCTCTAATGTCCTGCCCCAGTGAACAGCCATTGCGGCCTCTCTCAGCCTACAGCCCTCCTGTGATTGCCCCGGAACCAGTGGGGGAGACAGCTGTAGAGGGGAGAGCAGGGAATGAGAAACCCACCTGAGACTCCCCTAACCCTTAACACCCTCTCAGGAGGACCCTACTGCCTAGAGCACTTCCTTGCCCCACTACTCACCAAAACTCAATTAAAAAAAATTTTTTTTTCCAAAATAAAGCCTCAGCTGGCTCTGCCAACTAACCTTGCCATGTGTGTATTCCATGTCCATGCAGGTGGGAGTGAGGCAGGCAAGAGGCCTCTTCTGGGAATGCAGAAGAAGCTTGGTGGTGGTGGAAGTGAGGGGGGGTGGTGGGGGGGCGGGAAGCAGGGCATGCTCTGTAGGAAAGTCAGCCCACCTTCTAGGCTGTTCCTAGACTTCTTTGTTAAAAGCTGATTGATACCTGTTCATAGTCATGGACATCTCCACCTGTGTGACGGGCCTTCACCTGGACATAGTGCTGTACAGTTTACGGCATGCTGTCAGAGATCCAGGTGCATTTGAGCTATGCCACATGCTCCTTGAGGTAGGCAGAGTGGGTTTCAGATGGCCTTATCATAGAGTTCTTTCTACTTCCCTTCCCACCCCAGCATCGGGACTACTTGCTCATCTAGAAAGTGGCCAACCTGGGCCTGGAAACCAGGACTGTCCAGTTCTGAAGGCTGTACTACTCCTTGGTCAGAAACCCTGCTTCCTTGTGACCAAAGATGTCTTTTTACCTTTTCTATTTCTTCGTAGCTAGGGACTGAGGAAGCCTGGTTTTCCTATCCTTCCAGAGGCTCAGAGTCTATTCTCAGCAATGGGGTGTGTCATGCCTGCAATTTCTAGAAGCTGAGATAGTATAGGACAGGACTTGGCACTACTACACGTGCTCTTCCCTGCTCCACTCACAGTCTCACCCACCCTGATTGCTTCTCACCACCCCTTCCTACTCTTTCACTCTATATTTATGATATAAAGGGTGTGTGCAACCTGTGTTTGCACAGAGGGTGTCCTATGTGCATATGGGTGTGCACAGGTTCCAAGAAGTGTGTGAAGGGCTCTCCAAAGTTTAGGCAGGAGCAGGGTTAGGAGCTACTTGGAGGGAGCAGTATGTTTTCCAACTCCTCCATGCCACCACTGTGGAGTTCCAGATAGACATTCAGTCCATTTGGTGCTGGACTATGTGTGTATGAGATTTTAGCACCACTGATATGGGGCCCTTTCAGACTTTCTGAAATGGGAAATAAGCAGACAGAAGGTATAGTAGGTAGGATTAGACTGGCACAGGAAACTCAGGTGTGGCATTGCTGTGGACTCCCACTCCAGGCCTCCTGCTCTGGGCTGCTGGCTTTCCAGCCCCTGAGGGTTTGTCTTGCCCAAACCTCCCTAGCAACCCACCTCCACGGAGCTGTGTTTCCAGACAGTCCAGGCCAGGCTTTTTCCTTCCTCACCCCTCTTGCCCAGTCCAGGGGCCAGGGTCAGGGGTCTGTATACTGTCACAGAAGAGGACGTCACTCACTGGGAATAAAGCCAACAGCGGCATTATCTAGAGCAGAGGCTCTCGGTTTTGGCACTGGCCCATGGTAAATTCATTTTATCACTTGCAAACAGACATGTAAGTGGGTCCCAGGAATCAGTTGGTGCTGTCAGAGCCCTGGGCAGTCCTAGCACCCAGTGAGAGGGACCTCTTGCCCACTAGGGCTCCAAGTCAATATTTTCAATTGTGCCCCACCCAATCATCCTTGAAGCCAGCCACCTGTCTTATCGGACCATGCTGCCAGGCAGTGAGTGGGCTGGGGACGGCCATTTCCCCTCTCTCCCTGGGAATTTATACACTCTGGGTGTTTGCTGAAGGAAAGGCAGGATGACTCACGGAGCATTCCCTCTCCTGCTCCCCTTTTTGCTCCTGTTAGTGCATCCCATTCCCTCCTCCTCCTCCCCCCACCGTGAATTTATACACTGGGTGTTTGCTGAAGGAAGGGCAGGATGACTCAGGGAGCATTCTCTCTTCTGCTTGCCCCCTCCCGTTTGCTTCCATTAGTGCATCCATCATGGTCAAGGTCACCCAGCACTCTGGGAACACCAGCTGATTTATACCTACCAGAATTTAAACACAGGGACTGAGGATGTAGCTTGGTAAACAGAATACTTGCCTGGCATGCTTGAGGCTTGGATTCGTTCCCCAACACCACACACACACACACACACACACACACACACACACACACACACACACAACTTTAAACAAACAGGGCTGGAAATCTAGTTCTCATTTAGATGAGGAAATTCAAAGAATGGAAAGTAACATTTCTTAAATATAGTTGGCTCTGCAGATGCATAGGTTCTGTGTCTGAGGATTTAACCATCCATGAGTAAAAAATCTAAAAAAGAATTGTACCTATTCCCCCTTGTCATTATTCCCTACACAATATGGTCTTACCCTATTTCCATAGCATTTACATTGCACTAGGTATTATAAGTAACCTAGAGATGATTTAAAGCCTATGGAAGAATGTGGGTAGCTTCTATACAAATAGGAAACCATTTAAGACTTGGGCATTTGAAGATTTTGGTATCTGAGGGGATGGGATACCACGCCCTGCAGATACAATATGGAGGGTACACTGTGTCTGCTGTAAGGCAGGTGTCAGAGTCCTCACTTTATTTCTCTATGGTTACATAGTGGTGTCCTGACTTGTACAGGCCAATTTTCTTTTCTTTTCTTTTTTTTTTTTTTGTGTGGTAGGACTAGGGTTTGAACTCACTTGCAAAGCAGGCACCTTCCCGCTTTAGCCACACTTCCAACCTCCAATCTGGTGTACTGACTCTTGCCAGTGTTCTTTTGTTGATAATAGATTTGTACCACATAAAAGCTAAAAACTTTGTTTTTTATTATTTTGATTTTGAGTAGATGATAAATGCATGCTATATACAATTCAAAGGCAGAAGAGGACCCCAGCCTCATCAATTACCCAGTTTTTCTCCCAGAGTGCACCTAGTGCTCCCAGTTTTTTGTGATCACACCAGGTGGAGGTTATACACATATAATTACACACAGGTATACATTTATTGCTCTCTCTCTTTTTATTTATTTATTGTAGAACTGGGGTTTGAACTCAGGGCTTTGTGCTTGCAAAACAGGTGCTCTACCACTTGAGCCACCCCTATAACCTGACACACGCATACATTTACTTGTCTCACAAAGGATAATGTGCTGTACAGTAGACCCTTGGTATCCACAAGTGTGTGGTTGCAAGGAGACCACCGTTGAGGAGAACCTGTGGATGCTCAGGATGCAGAGTCAGGGTTGTACTGCTGCTGCATGGTTCATTTTCCCATAATGCTGCTTAACTTGTGCAAAGAGAGCTGCCTTTCAGCATGATCTCGAATTTCCTCTTTATCAGTTTAATTAATCACAGTCACTTTAACCTTGATTTTGGGGCACCATTTGCTTTTTTGGGACTCATTTTTACAAAATCAAGGGTAGGAAAACACTCAGCAGATTGCACATTGATTTCAACGCACCTGAAGATAACATGGCACTGACTGAGAGTTCCACATCCACTTAACTCGTGATGTGTTTGTGGGAATCAACACTCTTTCTGGTGGTACAGGGGTTTGAAGTGAGGGCCTCACAGCTTGCTAGGCAGGTGCTCTACCACTTGAGTCCACTCCACCAGCCCTTTTTTGTGATGGGTATTTTCAAGATAGATCTCTTCAACTATTCATCTGGGCTGGCTTTGAACCACAATCCTACTGATCTCTACCTCCTGAGTAGCTAGGATTACAGATGTGAGCCACCAGTGTTGGGCAAAATTTTTGTTTTTGAAATTTCTTTTGATTTGATTATTTTTTGACCATGCTTAGTCAAAACCACATTTGATAAATGTGTGGTCATATGCCTTGCTTTGACAATCACTGCAAATACCACTGTGGAGGGGTAAAGGTGCAGGGGACCAGCATGGAGGCACTCAGCTGGTCACTGTGCTGCCTCTTCACAGTGGTGGTGGACACAGTTGCTTTGTCCCTTCTCCTGCATTCCTCTTCCCCTTCTAGTATCAGAGCATCTCTCCCACCCCAAAAGTTGTCCTTCCTCAGCTCTACCACAGGCATTAGATTCTGGGGGACCTGCCACTCACAGGACCTCTCTTCTAGGTCCCCCACAGGGTGGGCATGAGCCAGCCTTGGCCAATCCCAGGGACCTTTGCTCTTGCTGGGGTGTCTCATACTTAGGGTAAAATGCCCAGAGTGCTTTCCTCTATAATGCACAGCTCGATGAATTTTACTAATGTTAGCTCCTGGAACAGAACATTTCTTGTATTACATAAGATTCCCTGGGCTCCTTGCCAGAGAGCACTTGTTCTTTTTTTTTGGGTAGACTTCATGTTTTAGAGCAGTTTTAGGATCACAGCAAAATTAAGTGAAAGGTACAGAGGGTTCCCACATGGCCCTTGTTCCTGCCCACGCACAACCTCTCCTACAATCAACAGCCCCCACTGTTTGGGTGCATTTGTGACAGTTCATTTACCTACACTGACACATCATTGTCACTGAAGTCCATAGGGAACATTAGGGATCAATTTTTTTTTTTTTTGTGGGACTGAGGTTTCAACTCAGGGCTTTGCAGTTGCAAAGCAGGCACTCTACTGCTTGAGTCACTCCTCCAGTCCCTTTTGCTCTGGTTATTTTGGAGAAGGGGTCTTCCAAATTGTTTACCAGGACTGGACTTGAACCATGATCTTCCTGATTTCAGCATCCCAAGTAGCTGGGATTATGAGCGTGAGCCACTGGAGCCTGACAGCAGTGGGGTCTTAATATCAGCATTGTCTCATAGACTGCAAACTCCACAGGGCAGAGGCTACTCCTTGTTAGCCTGGTTCTCCATTGGCTTCTTCAGTGCTTAGCACAGTGGTGGGTACATAAGAAGTGGTCAATAAAAATTGTTAAATAATGGCTGGGGGAGTGGAACTCAGTGATAGA